GTTTTTTGTCAGCGTAACCATTTTAAAAAAGCGTTCTTCCGAAATTCATTCAAAAACTTGCTAGTTTCACTTTGATTTTTTTAAACTCAAGTAGGATAACTCTGTTCGCAAAAGGTGCGCTTTTGCGAAGAGGGCGCCACCGAATTTTGAGGACACTTTTTTAATTGGCTCAAAGAGAGAAGTGGCCCCTCTTGTTATGTAGACTCATTGTGTGCATGTGTATGCATGTGTGTGCGTGTGTGTGTGTGTGCGCGCGCGCGCGCGTGCGTGCGTGTGTGTGTGTGTAGTGTGGGGGATGGATGGGTGTTATTTCTTCATGTCCGCATTCCTGTTGTGCGATCTAGGGATCCGAACAATCGTAAAGAACAATCCCCCCCTTCCCCCTTTTCCCCGAAGCTCCACTACGTAGAGTCCACCTTCTAAATAACGTAATTGTCTCCAGTCCGGCCCTAAACCAACACACAAACAACTTTACTGGTAGCATGGTAAGCATGACTCGACTGTGATCGGATCGGTCAGAAAATCAGACGAACTGCCCCGCACCTATCGAAATAATCGCCTTATGACGTAATCTCCTCTCCCGTCTCGTGAATAGCAAGATGCACTCGGGGATCTACAGCTACTAGTGTCCGATCGACTCCGAAAGCAAACAGGTCTGGTTTCGCAAGACACGATAAGACAAAGTAAAAGCTCTTCCCTGAGAGGCCCGATGGGGGTATAAAAATAAACAGCGGACACAACTTCCTCGCTTGGAGAGTGCCATTCATGTGCCACTACTTTTTCTCCGAACTCATGGAGTCTTTTGTTGTGTGAGCTGGGTCTGTAGATTTAGGTTCCGGACTCGTGTGCAATACACCCCCGAAACCCCTGGCTGTGGAGCTTGCCTCTCTTCGTGTTTAAGATGGAGGCAAATTCATGCTGAGACAAACAAAGCAACATTGGATGTAAAAAAAAAAGTGTGTCCAGCTTGACATATTATGTTTAAACTAAACGCAACACGTGAACACTTATAACTGTTAAGAGAACGATGTCAATTATTTAAAATTCTTTTTTTTTTTTTAAAGAGAGAGTCAAATGACCGGAAAGTCTTAATGACTTCTCCCCCCCCCCCCCCCCCCCCCCCCCACACACACACACACGATAAGAGACAATAATAGCAATACTGTAAGTGCAAGACTGTCGGAAAGTGGGACAAGTAGAAACATATAACTTTACAAGACTGAGCAAACAACGCTTCATTCCAACTGGGAAGTACGTCTGCCGACGACTTGGAGTCTAATTCCTTAACATTATCCTCACAACAGCCCGAGAAATCACGTACGAATCTGGGTATTTCGCCCCCCCTTGAGTGTGTAGGCGTCAGAATAGAAACGAAATACCTTGAAGTCAGCGAATAGCCACACAACAATAAACGTTGAGGTCGCAAAAACGAGACAAAAGATCATCAAAACAAAATTCTGTTGTTTGTTTTTTTTACTTTAGGACGCAGAGGGCTACACCCACACTTCCCTCTTTCGATCATCACCACACACCCGTGACCGCACCCCTATCCCAGCCCCCCCCCC